TTCATTAGAGGATCAATGGTACTTATGGTGAAAGATGTAACTCAGCGGTAAAATGATAATTTGACCTACTCATGTAGTTACGAATACTAGTGAAGGATTGACTTACTGTTAATATATGGTCAATATCTATGGACGCAAACTATTCTACCATACGAAGAGTGTAGCTATGGGTCTTTAGTGGAGTGACCCATAGTTAACAAATGTTGGTTACTTCGGTTAATGAGTTTAATCATTTAATCTCGTATCGTTGGAGCTTTTAATCTGTAGGTCCATTATGTCCCCCACTAGCTCAGAATGGTAAAACAAGGATCAATTTTTTTTTAAAGAATAAGATACAATTAACATAATGTATATAGATACATTATAATATAAAGTTAATTATGAATGACATACATAATTAAAATATATATATTATAGAGTTATATTTGAATAAGATTCAAATAATAATTAATATGAATGAGATTCACGTTAAAATATAGGTTAGGAGAGAAATATACCTTTGAATATAATTAAAATAAAGCTTTAATTGAATATATGATATTTAATTATTATTATTATTGATTAATTAGTTTAATAATTGATTAATTCATTGATCAAATTATGTTAATTTTAATTTAATTAACAACTCACTTCCTTACATTTTGCAACGAGGTGGGAAGATGGTCGGTGGGAAGGTTGCTTCTTCCCCACTCGTCTCCCTCCCTATAAAATTAGAGTAAAGGTTTTGTTCAAAGGTTGAACATCCTGTCTCAAAAAGCTCTCTCTTGAAACTCCCTCACTTTCAAAATACGATTCTCACAAATTGATCATTGTTAATAGAATAGTGGGGAAGACTTTGTGGTGGTGTTGGTGTTTACGTTGAAGAACAATCTTCAAAGGAGGTTCTCGTTCTTTGCATTGCTTTCTTTTTTTAGTAATTTTTCTAAAACAAAATCTAAGCACAAGCGTTTGTGCGTTTCCACTGCGAGATTCGATCCCTTTAGATACGAACTTTGAAGATTAGTTTTTTCCATGTATTACTTGTGGTCGTCTACACTTCCATGTATTATTTTAGCTGTTAAGGTAGAAGCACAACATGATATTGGAAACAAATTGGACAGGAGTAATAAAATGAGCATTGGTCGTAGCTCGACCAATAGTAGTTTGGCTAGTGGAAGTGGGGTGATCGTTAGCCATAATGTTGCCATTTGCAATATTATGACAACCATTAGCTACGGCCATTGAGGTCGCAACCACTTGGGAGTATGTGGGAGAGCAATGTTTCCTTATTGATGAGTTTGGGTGTGTGATTGTTGAGAATGTGATTGAGTCATAGGTGAGAAGGGAATGACATAGAAAATTTTTCGATTCCCAACATCAAGAAAATGACCAGGGATTGCGAAGCTTTGACTGATGTGACCGATGAACGAAGGGACTTGCAAAAAAGAGTAACAGCTCTAATGCTCAAGTTAGTACTTATTTGACCTATACTCTGATGGAAATTTAGACATGCACAGCGGAAGCTAAGGATTATAATACACTTAATGAAGCAATTTAACTAAAATAAGCATGCTTGAAAATATGATGAAAAAGGTAAAGAGGAAGTGATTAACTTCATACCTTTGAAGACCTCCACTATAACTTCTTCTACTAACTCAATGGGACCACCAACAGCAAATCCGTGCTATCCTTGGGTTGATGAATATGGTTGTGGGACCGAATTATGAGTGAAAGCAAAGGGATTGCACTAATGGCTACGAGAACAAAATCATATTTGAGTGGAAAAATTATGCATTTATGGAAGGAAGCATTAGCCTTCTCCAAGTGATCTTCGTCACCTATATAAAAACCAAATACATGCAAGGACAAGCCTTACATGCCTTCCACCTCAAAACCCCACTAGCATGTAAAAGATATGTGTTATTGCCTTTGAAGTTGGATTTTTCCAGTAACTTGATTTTTTAAATAAAACTTTTATAAAACTAATTTTTTATAAAAATTGAAATATTAATTTTCTTTTAAAACAAAAACCAAACTAAATTAATATCTCATATTAATTGGTCTTTGACACCTAAGCTTATTAATCACATTAATCAAATTACAACTTTTTTTCATGTTTTAAACTTATTTAAAACTAATTTAAATAAGTCATACTCTCCAATATAATTAATTCTCAATTCATTATTAAATTATATATTATATCTCATATAAAATACAATATTCCTTAAAAACCGAATTTGAACACTTCAAATTCTTGCTTCACCTAGTTCATCAA